GGACTTGTAAACAAGTGAATTGTACACTAAACTTATGGAAAATATGGAAAATTCATTTGAATTAATCTGAGTGATGATGAAAATGCATAATGACCAGCTAGAGTCTAGACATTTGAAGAGGAGTGTGATTCTCAGGAAATTATAATTTTAATAAGACAAAAAAAGGATGAACTGATGGATGGAGTGTAACCATATTTATTTTATTGTTTATTTTCATTTTTAAAAATCCACATCAAACTCATCTCTTTTTGACCTAATGATAAATCCACATAGTTTTCTCGGCAAAAATATGGAAGTGGTTTCCATTGCTTCTTTCAAAGTGAGATGAATTCCTTGTTATTCTTCCCATGCAGTATTCTTTACTGTCTCATAGAAAAAGTTTGCCCATCTGAAATAGCCTTTGATGTTTCCTTGAATAATCAACAGCTATAATTTCAGGGTAATTTCCTCATTCAAATACTAATCAGGACCAACCCTGCTCAATTTCTACCACAAAAATGCTGAGAATATATATATAAAGATGTCATTGACTTCTGCTTAACTCTGGTGACTTCATGCAGTTTTAAGGCACAGTTGGGAAGCAATGTACCACTCCATACTTCCAAGGTATTCATTCATTTACTTATTTACTTACTTACTTACTTACTTACTTACTTACTTACTTACTTACTTACTTACTTACTTACTTACTTACTTATTTACTTACTGTCAAGTCTACAGTTCTGGGATCACCTGTTGGTCTTATCTAAGTATTTAAAAAGCCTGTCCCTATTTAGTATACAAGCACAGACATCTGAAATTCAATTCACTTTAAATTAGATTAAATCATTTTAGTTTTTGTTTCAGCATCAGTCCTTTTTGTGTGTATTCTTTTGTACCCTTACTCCTTTAATTACCTTCAAAGTTAAGTACTCAGGCCAAAAATGTTATTTACTCTTGACTTAAAGACAAATCATATTACTTGACTCCTATTCAAAATGCAAGATTTGTATCATATGATAAATTTAGACCCAAATCTTCGAAGATTGAAAAAGCAGAATTGTCATTTAAAGATTACAGAATTTTAAAATTTAGTACCCTGTGCCACATAATTTATCTCTTCCACATATTAAATGATTACAAGACTTATGATCTAGAAGTTACAATTGTGACTAAATATACAAAACAGACAAGAAAACAAACATATAACTCCACTGAATAAACCAACCCAGTATTCTCACTCAAAGCACAAATGACCAAGCTCAAACGTTCCTACTTAGGAGAAAGTTATTGGGTTCTGAAATTCTGCTGTTAAACAATGATGTTGTAATACCTAGTGTCACATGACCACACCAACTTACAACAGCAGTTCCCGAAGTCCAAGTTCACATTGTTAAATAAATCCCATGCAATTGTAATGTCCCACAGTAGCATGATTGCCATTTCTACCTTCTGCCAGGTCATATTGACTTTGCTTGTTGGAAACCACAATGAACTTCACAAATGACAGTTATATGATTGAAAGTATCATTGTGACATCATGATTGATCAGCTGCCAAGTGCATGAATTGCAAATACATGACTACAGGGACATTGTGACCCCCTCAGGTATCCATCATAAGTGGGTTTTTTAATGCATTGTAACTTTGAACAGTTACATTATAAGTGGGCATTAAATGAGAAAAAACATATATGTGAAGACCTAGCTCTTTGGAAAAGATTTAATTGTGGGAAAAGTGTAAAGAAAGATAAAGGATAACCAACAGCAAAATGGCTGTGCCATTGGAAGGCCTGAAGGACTGGGTTAGCAATAGGCTGTGAGACAGAAAATCTGTCTTTATGATTGCTAAGAGCCAATGCCAACTTGATGGTACACAGTCAATCAACCAATATACAAAAATCCTCATTTATACTCTTCAAATCTTAAGATAATAGGTACAGTCTCTGTATATTGCTGGAGCGTCATGTGATCACCAAACTGGAAGATATTTGCCTATGGCTGTTGAACAAAGACAAAGCACCAGCATTTTCTGATATTATTTTCCAAATGACTTTATTAATCATATTTTACATGTGATCAGACCTATACCCTGAATTGCAAGTACATGTTTCTGAGGTATTAAGATTGGAGAAAACCATGCACAAGTTTCATGTAAAAAAATACAGTTTAGCAGGTACATGACAGGTTTTTTTAATATCATGATATTCAAATAACCCTGACATTTTCTGTACATTCAGACACCCACACACAACGTTGTTTAGGGCAGTATGTACAGTACAGTTATATAGTTTGCCCATTGTGATGTTGAGCACAGCTCCAAGTTGTTAGCATAAAATTGACATTCAAATTACATCCTATATGCTAAGATGCATTCTGCATTATGTAGCCTATGACTGGCATACACTGTCACATATTTTGGTTTACAGTACAAACTATCTCTAAATTTCCATTCTTTGATGCCTGATATTAAAAACTAAGCCATTGGCTAATAAAGCATCAAAACTCTATATGTTTTGAGACTCTAACTTTAATTGGTTGAGAATTCTTGAAATTGTAATCCTAAGACATTTGAAAATTTTGAAAACATTTGAAAACAGGTTCAGAAAGACATACCTAAAGTGTATCAGAGTAGTTTTAGGTGTAAAGTTAAAATAGTAATGATATTTGGCTTTGGCCTGTTGTTTTCATTCTTTTTCTTAATTAGTGCTTTGTTCATAGTAAAAAGCATATTTTTACATGAAAAAATAGATTGTGAAAGAATTAATTTACTCATGAGACATAATCCACTTCAGATAGTTTAGAACAGTGTTTTCCAAAACTTAGCAACTTAAAGATATTTCTACTTCTAGAATTTTCCAGACAGCATGCCGAGTTGAAGTTGACACATCTTTAAGTTGCCAACTTTGAAAAACACTGCTATAGGTTGAGCAATTAAAATCACATATTTCAGATCATAATTCAGAAATAACCTCTAGACTTCAATTTCTAGGATTGGTGTTAGAAACAGAAACTGATAATTGGTAGCATGTCAGAGTCCAACAGCACTGAGACTACAGTGTGCTACTACTGCTACACTACAAGCCACCATGCAGAAATACTCACAATACAGCAAATTGCAGTAATGTTTTGCTAGATTTTCAACAGCATTGTGGGGATTTTAAATGGGCGATAGTTTGTTGTTGCTAGCATCAGTTGCCCATGAATGGGAAGGGTACCAATTTAGTTACATTCCACTGATATTTACCACTGATCCAGGAAATAGAAACAGAACACCTTCCAATTCTGTTTTGATTGATATGATCTACATTTACTACTGATTTTTTTAAATCAAAGATGCAAAGTAGAACTGGATGATAACATCCAGTACCTCAATTTTGTTTCAGCTCTAATGTTAAAGATAAATAAAGATTCTGTCAGTCAATTTAATGATGATATCAGGATTATAAATTAAGTTCTATAGGATTATAGGATTATAAATTAGTTCTATAACAAGTATTTATGTGAAAGTTCACTAAACTTCAATTTTTCTATAATCTTAATATATTAATGTAGGGAGCTAAGTTAAAGCCGGCCACTCATTAATGCAGTGTGCAGGCGACTTTCTTTAAGCTTAATTTGCTGAACATGTGGAGGCTTATCCAAACGTTTCCTTTATAAATATATGCAAGCCATTCCTTCACATTTTGAAAACACATTAAAGGTTTTGTAGAGCAATACACTGTGATATAAACCAATTTGATGAGCTGTAACCCAAAGTTTCATATCTAACCAAGAATACATCCTGTGTACAAAAGTTTAAATTACCTTACTGTAAATAAAAATGAGAATCATAAATCTTACAGGCCCTTTGCTTTCCTTCCTTAAGTAGTAGTAAGTTTGGACAGCCTTTGGTAGATTGTTCCATTAATAATCAAGAAAATATTGAGCCTAAGTGAAAATCTATTTCACCATCCTAGAGATAGGATGTAGAAGAGAGCAAGAGAACATGCAACTAAGTAATGTTCATCAAATAAGAAGTGAAATATCATTTTCTTGTTCAAAAGCATTCTCTTGGCTATTTTATGTTTCACATTATCCTGCTCTTGAAACATCTCCAGAACAATCCCTCAAGAATTAATTAATTTTGAGTGGAATAAATGATAATAGCAATTTCCATGAATGGAAAAATAAAGAACCTCCATGCTTCATTAACCTACTGTATGACAGGTTCCATTAACAGGAAAGGAGAGGATGGGGAGAGGGAGAGGGGATGGGGAGAGGGATGGGAATACACTATTTCTACTGGTTTCCTGCAGTTGATTATTTGGTTTAATTGTATATAGCTGATTACAGTAAAACAGAACAGAAGAAACCAGTTTTAAAAATAGGGAAACAACTTTCAAACAATTCTAAAGGGGAAAAAAGAATAAGAGAAGGATGTCGATGCCCTGTCCTGCCTGCACATATTCAAAACAATGAAGAGTCTCAATCCATATTATTGAGTTTTGAATTTGCAACATAAATTATTTAGTTTAGGCAAAGTACAATCAAAATATTCATTGTTCTATAATAGATGCTATGCTGAAACAAAGCAAAAGATCTCATTACAACATTCAATCTTATTTCCCAAGCTATTATAAACATAATCACTTTTTTATTTTGGTTGTTCTGAAGTGTTTTGTGTTGCCTGATATGAATTCAAAATTGTATGTCTATAATTATATAAAAACCAAAAATATACGCCTCTAGAGATATGCATAAAAAGTTTTAACCCTGTAGAAAGTAAGTACAAAAATTATCTTTTCTGAAAAGGATAATTTAACTATCCTTATCCTATAAGGATAATTTACCTATCCTTTAAGTTTCATAGCATGCTGGTTTATATAGATGTATAGATTTAGACAAGGATTTGCTTTATTTAACCTTTATGATTCAGTTTTTATTATCAGTTATCCCGCTGGCAAAACATCAAAATACCTATTCTTTCACATACAAAGTACATCAATGACAGAAAACAACTACAGTGCTAATTCTATTACTTATTATCTATATAATAGCATAGCACTACTAGAAATAACAGGAATCTGATAACAATGAAGTGATACCTTGGTGACACTTTAAGGCAAATACATTTTATGGCAATTGGAGAATGTTCAAATGATTTGTTCCTTCTAATTGAAAACTGGATTTCTTACACCACTCAAAATAAGGTTACTGCTGTGCCCCTTTCTGTAGAAAAGGAGAAGGGATAATACACAAGAAATGGTGCTGATAATTCCTAGAATTACTATTCCTGAAATCAATGCACTGGTGACTGAATTCAGCTGGAAAGAAAATCCATTTGGACTTCCTACAAAGGAAAGGAATAGAGCAGAAAGTTAAAATATTTTGCAAGGCCTGAGAACAATCCAGATACATATATTTGACTTCTCAATATTCATAATTAACCCTATGCAGGAACAGTTATAGAGATGTCAGAAGAAAAGAGTCTGAATCAAAATAAAATGCATGTTGTTTTGTTGATCACAAAATAAATCTATTCCAAAACCAAAGGTGCCTGTTTCAACAGCACTATACCATGAATTCTAGGCCCAAAGGAACTGCGTCCTCAAAGTGTGTTCTCAAAGAAGTCATTAATCTCATTGCCTCTCTAGAATTGGCAGACTTTATTCCTTTCCACAGTTTTCAGTGTAATAGAGTTTTTAAAAGTTTCTAGAGGTAAGTCAGTGAAAAAGTGGCTCTGCTTTATTGATTTCATCTCGGTGCCTTCTTTCTTAATATTTGGGCATATCCACATTTCCACATCATTTTTTTTCTCACCATTTCCCATGGAATGAAATCAGAGATATATCTGATCATGATATAATGTCTGATCACTGTAATATCAACAGAACTATGATTGTCTTTTTAAATGTCATATGCTTTTCTAAAAGATGGGATCTAATAAGCTTTTAAAAGCTATCCAGAAAAATTTAATTTGGATGTTTTACATTTTATGTCATTTAAATTAGGAGAAAATGTTGCACTACGACAGCCTACAGTAAATACAAAGTATTTGACTAGGATAAAATTCAAATATTTCTTTTAAAATTACGGGAAATGTATTGCTTACCGAGCTGTGAATTGTTGGTTGGGATTTCCTCTGTATCAAATACACAAGGAGATTCATTTTAATTTGAAGGTATTCATTTTCTTTGTGCTTGGACACAATCATTGACACTTTAAACAGGAATAACTATCTGTCACCTCAAATCTAAATTTACATTTACAAATATATTCATCAAAACAAAAATTTCTACCAGGTTTCCAACCAGAAAACTTTCTATCTACAAGGTAAAAGATATAGCCATTGTGCCAGTGTAGCATTCAAAGTACAGCATGCTATAAAATGTACTGGGATAAAATAGGAAAATAAAAATATGGGCTTTTTAGTTGCTTTATTGCACCCACATAAAACTTAAGTTGATGACTTAAGAGATGTTGAATAACTGCAATGAAGATCCAGCTATATTTATGTAGATTTTCTGCATGATTCTGATCTCTGCATAATCTGTTTTTTGAATCTATGAGAACTATGCAAGCAGTTCCAGATTGAGAACATCCAATTTACAGACAACTCATACTTTGAATGGGCTGCCTATTATTAAAAATGATGGAGAGTGTTCCGTTCCTCTTTTCTCAAACTAATGAATCTGTGAACCTGCACAATTTAAATCTATTCCTCAAAGCAAAATGAAGTCCTTGCTTCTAAAAGCAAAGAACCCGCATTGCTTTACATTTCTTCATTCCTCTAGTGGTTTTAGAGGCTTCTACTCAAGTTATGCTTGAGTCTTGCAAAACCTTCTTATAATTACGACAATTGTCAAACAAGGCTAAATAAAGAAATTTGTTCCCAAGAAAAACCATCAGTCTTCTCCTTCATGAGGAGCATGTGAGTCAAAACTGCCTTACGTATGACTACATACCTAATCATATGAGAATTAAACAATCAAATACAAGTGTTGAATCTATTTCTTGAACAGAAAACTTTCCATTTATATTTTAGACATCATGTAGGATGATTATCCTTACCAGTTCTCGTAATTATCGGGCCAGCAGATATTACTGCACTTCCAGAAATGCTCTGAGGTGTCCAAGTGGTTTGCTTCATCACATCTCTTTTTTTTCTATTACTGCAGGCCTAGAAGTTTCAATCAAAGTAATTATGATTCAGAACAGATAAAAATAATATTTTTCTTTGGTGTTCTATTTTAATTTTGTATATAAACTGGACCTTTAAAAAAACAAAACTAAAAGCAGAACCCTCCTGCTTAAAAAAGCTTGCTTGCACTGAAACATTGGAAACCACTAAATATACTGTCATTCATTCTTGGTTGTTTTTCTTAACATATTCAGAACTTATTTTATTGTATAATGGTTATATATTGCATGAGGAATCTCATCAGTAGTGGGTTCTGGATCCCATTGCAACCAGTATGGTGCAACGGGGCCAGGCGTTCACCACATGCATGCACGCAGCACACACGCAGCATGTGCGCAGCATGCACATTCGTACTTACCACCCATGATGCTCCATGATGCTCCAGCTGTTTGGTGGAGCATCGCGCAGGCGCCATATGCTCCATGCATGTAAGCCCTGATCAGCTCAAATACAGGTAAGGAGGGTGGATGGGCTGGTGGGCCCTCCAGAGCACCATACTGGAATGGTACCTGGTGCTCCCAGCAGCCACCAGTACGCCCATACCGGGGCATTCCAGTCATATCCGACCACTGAATCTCATCTAGGAGGTTTTTCAAATTACTCCACATTTGGTTGGAGAATAGCAGATGAAATTCAGGCTACTGATTGCTTCTTTCACTAATTCTTCACTGAAAAGTCTCCATCCAGCAGATACTTCCATAAAACCTAAGTAGGAAATTATTTCCATAATCTTACACTTGAATGTCCTCTGTATGTTTCAGTCTTTGCTGAGCTGTTTCCAAACCCTTCAGAACACAATTACCCTCTTTATAACTTACATTATTCTACGTACTCAGAAAATCTATTTTAAAAAGTTGGTCAGCACCTCAGCAGAACTTTGGGGGGGGGGATGAAAACTTAAAATAAAAGATTAGAGAAATATTCCCTAGCTATGGAATGTGTTGTTCAAAGAATACTTCTTCTCAGTTGGAATACTTAGAAAATTAAAAAAATCATCAGCAATGAATATTTGAAAATATACAATACAAAAGTAGAATCAAAAGGTTGGGATAACAAACTGGCACACCATGGAGTCTCTATAATAAAAATGCAATATACCCTACTATAACAGTTGTTAATTACCTGGATTACTAAGGAAAGGATATTAAACATAGAGGGATGTGGTTCCAACAGATTCTAGCAATTAAGCTTAGGTAAAGGTAAAGGTTCCCCTAACACATATGTGCTAGTCATTTCCAACTCTAAGGGCCAGTGCTCATCTCCATTTCAAAGCCAAAGAGCCAGCATTGTCCAAAGATGTCTCTGTGGTCATGTGGCTGGCATGACTAAATGCCGAAGGGCCACATAATGCTGTTACCTTCCCACCAAAGGTGGTTCCTATTTTTTCTAATTGCATTTTTACATTCTTTCGAACTGCTAGGTTGACAGAAGCTGGGACAAGTAACCGGAGCTCACTCTGTTATGTGGCACTAGAACCGCAGAACTTTCCGATTGAGAAACTCAGCATCTTAGGCATTGAGCTACCGTTCGGTATCTTATGCTTATTAATTATTTAAGCATAAGAAAGGGGAAAGAAAGCTCAGGCTGAGTCAAAGGAATCCCTTGGCCCTGATATACTCCAGGCAGTCCTGTGATCATTCTAAATAATAAGCACCTTTAAATAAATAAATCTAAGCTAGGTGCAAAAAAAGCAGCTAAAAGTATTTATGTTACTACAAGCCTATTCTAGTTTGGCTGAGAAAAGAAATCTATACAAATTAACTTCAATTGTAAACTTAAATAAATTTAACTTAACAAATATTCACAGAGTCCAGCTTGGATATCTTTTCTGCAATTATTGGATAAAAAAAAGTTCATAAACTGAAATACTGAATTCAAATTGACAGACTATTTTATCAACAGCAGGTTTGTTATTTGATTCACTATGGAGACATTCTACCCACATATAAATAGAACAGTTTACTTTAAACAGAACAGCTTCCATCTGTGAAAAAGTTGAAATAATAATACTATGAGGGATGCTGCCTACCTTTCTAAATGAACATATATTTCCTAGAGCACAAGAGGAAAGAGGAGTAATTTTTCCCATCCTACTTTGGGCAACTCAAACACTCCTTGTATTCTGAACACTGCTCGGTATCATTGATTATATCTATTTTTTCAGCAATTCAGGAATTTATATAAAGTATCTCCCTACATTAAGTTGATTTTATTTTGGATTTAGTTTTTCTCACCATAAGCTTATTGGAAGATGAATCTAGATTTTAGGTAATCATATTACATACTGACTTTCACATCACTCTTTCATAGTTTATAATTAATAATTTCCCAAGCCCTACCTTTCAGTTAAATAAATAATGTGTCTGAGAGTGGAAGGAATCCGCCGGGAACAACAAGATTCACCAAAGCTAACAGAACTCAGTTTGATTATTTCATCTCAGTGTAACTTCCACATTGGAGATTCATCTATCATTGAGAGTATGGATTTTATTACACACTAGTCAACTAAAAAGATTATCTATTATCACCCACTAATGTTAAGCCCTTCAAGTTGCATCATTATACAAACACTCTAAAACATACTGGAACAAGAAAGGGGCAGTCATCCGCTCTGCACAACTTTGTGATACAATGTAGAAAAACCGCAGACATTTTCTGGTTCTTATGTTTCACAAAGCGGAACACCTCAAAAGAAAATCGGCCCATTTGACTCTTCCCATTTTCAATTATAGTTGTCTGAGGGTCTTTGTCACAACTGAAAAAAGAAATAAATGAAATGAGTAACTTTCATTGCTTGAGAAATACATTAACAATACTACATTTTAGAAATTCTTGGCATTTCTTTTCACACACCTTCTGCCTCTAAAAAAAAGCCTGACTTGGATATTACCTAGAGTTTTGACATAAGGAACATTGATTTCCATGACAAAGCATATATTATACATTTAAATAAATGAATAAACTTCTTTTTGAACATACCCTATTTGTATTACCCTATTAACTATTTCAAAAGTTTAACATCAAACATCTTTCAGATATAAATTGCTTGTACCATATGGGACAACTTGTATTGCTACAGCAACTCATCCTTAGGCCAAATAGAAATTCAGACTATGAACAAAATTAATTAGCTTCATAATTTAAATATGAATTGACATAATTCATAGTTATAGGACTTATATATACAGTAAATAAGAATACTCTACATTTTTCACAATTCCCTATATCTTACCATCAACATTTCCACTTAAACTGTGTACATATATTAAAGAAATGTCCCAAAATACCTACATTCCCACTAATCAAGAAAATTATGGCAAAATCACATATGAATTTTCAACATAGTCCTCCAATATCTAAATAAGATTTCTTTACATCTTCATGTTGAGTATTTTTTTAAAAAATGTTGGGAAAACTTTTCAGAAAGCAAGAAAGGTAGATTCAGCAATTTATGAAAGACACTTTTTCAGTTTCTCACAGCTGTTTGGTAATTCTTGTTATCCATAAATATTTCCATGATACAGACCAATTCTTGTTGAACATAACAACAACAACTGTTTCATCTCTAGTAATGCATGACAAAAATTATGACCAGATTTACTGACAAATCAGAACAGACCAGGAGATAGAATGTTGGGTTTGTAAGGAAATTGTGTGCAAGGAATGCTTATCACAGAATGCTACTCAAATGTCCACTTAACTCTGAAGCAAAAATAACACTATTTATTTTCATTTATAAATTGTATCTGCATGGCCATAGGTATGTGGGTTTTTGATTGGACATATTCATTCAATAATGTGCAAGAATAATTCTGAATGATTTTAACCACATCAATCTATGAGAACTGTTGTAAAGAATAGTGGTAAATCATACATACATCAATATGAGATATAAATACTATTTTAAAATACAAAATGAAACAAATGACGTTCCAAGAATTCTTACTGCACAAAGTATTTCTTCAAATATTTCTTTTTTCTTCACTGTGTGGTATTATGCATTAAGAGAGGTCTGATTGTGGACAGAGTTGATTATAATATTTGATGCTAAGCATTTAACATCTGTGTAAATAGTACTAAAGCCTATAGTAAGACCATCTTAAAACAGACCAAAGTATTCTCTTTGTACAAATAATGGCCTAACAGCTGTAAAGGGATTGTAAACAGATATAAGTACATTCTTGCTTATGTTCTACCATAAATGGAATTAAAATATACACTTCCTCCAATACTGGAAGAAATATATACTCAGTGTGACTTGTGCCCACTTATCATACTATTCCCCATAAATTTTTCCTCTGAATATAATGCAAACTGGAAGCCATCAATTGAGAATATTTGCTTAGAATATATTTATTGATGAAGGCAAATAGAATAGGTTAGACTTAGCAGATAGCCATTATTTATATGCATATTTCTGCACTGATTCCAAAGATTCAATTCTTCGATATGCATTACTTATTATATTAGCTGACATTTTAACAGTGTAAATAATTATTAAACTAATATTGTATCTAAGCAATTAAAACTTTTGAGTTGACTTTTAAAACAATATATTTTATGTAATCCATCACAATCATGTAAAATATAAACATGATGGTTAAAAATGTCTACCTAAAGAAGAGATCATATCGCAAATTGTCATTTGGATTTCCAGATGGAGTAGTGTAGCAGTAATCCATCAAAACATTCCATCTGCCAAAGAAAAAGAATTAACAGTTAAAGAAACTATTTCTCATTCATTACAATCTTACGTGTATTTACTGTCTTTTTAGTAACTTACAACATGTGTAACGTTTTGGGGTAAAACCTTGCAAATGGATTTGCACAACATATTAACTTAGGTAGGGGTTTTTTTTCATTTTTATTTATTGTTTGTTTACTTTCTGTGACTTAGTAAGTTCCAGAGCAATTGGTTAGATTATGGTTCAATGTGTTGTATGAGCCCACAAAATGAGTAATCATGTTAAGTAATCATGTTCCAATATTTAAGGAGATGCCACAAAGCAGAAGAGGCCAGCCTGTTCTACAAAGCAACTGAAGGACAAGAAGCAATGGAGGGAAACTAATCAAGGAGAGAACCAACCAAGAAATAAGGAGACGTTTCCTGACAGTGAGAACAATTAATCATGGACAGCGTGCCTACAGAAGTTGTGGGTGCTTGATCACAGGGGGTTGTTAAAGGAGATTGGACAGCCATTTGTCTGAAATAGTATAGGGCTGCCTGCTTGAGTAAGGGGTTAGATTAGAACACCTTCAATGTCCCTTCCAACTCTATTGTTATGTGTTTTAAGTGAATGTGCCCACTAAAATCCTCTGCCTTCTGAACAAGATTTTTTTTAAAAAAAACTGCAGCCTAAGAATGGCAGGCATCAAATAGAAGTATTCTGCTAAAAATCCTATCTACTACTCAGAAAGGAATCTATCTGCCTAAAGATTAATAGATATGTGCATCACACAATTCTACATTTTAGCTATACAGTTTGTATTTTTATTCCCTATCATCTATCAGTGCTCCATGGCTTAGGCCCAGGATACCTGCGAGACCACCTACTGCCCCCGTTAGTCTCCCACCATCCAGTGTGATCCCACAGAGTTGGCCTCCTCAGGGTGCCGTCGGCCAGACAGTGTCAGCTAGCGACCTCCAGAGGGAGAGCCTTCTCTGTGGGAGCGTCTTCCCAGAGCTTCATACAATCCCCGACCTCCGGTCCTTCCGAGGCACCCTAAAAAGTTGGCTTTTCCAGCAAGCCAGCCTGGCCTGAACAAAACAAAATAAATTATTGATCATTGTTAATTTTAATCGAATTTTTTAAAAAATGTTATTGTTAATCCGAATTGGGTTTGTTTGGGATATTCTATTTAATTCTTTTTAACTTTTGTAATATGTGGTTTTTTTTAAAATTTTGTACGCCGCCCTGAGTCCTTGGGAGAAGGGCGGCATATAAATTCAATAAACCTAAACCTAAACCTATTGAGGTAGATTCTGCTTTTAAACATACAATAAAATAACTGAAAAAACACCTCTAGATTGTTTGGTTCATAAATCCTACTAAGTCATATAATATGGGTCTGAATTTGATATGATGTGAATTAACTAGCCATTCTATAGACAAACCATTGTTTATAGCTTATGTAAGACCAGACAATGATCAATATCCAAAACTTTAAAATAATGTAAATTATTAACCAATTCATAGTGACTGAGTACAGATTTTTGACAAGCCCAAAGAAAAGCTCCATTCTGAATGTCATATGTCATATGCCTAACTATGTGCTCAAGTTCTTTATACATTTGAAGTAGTTAAAGCTGTCAATTCTTATTTAAAGAATTGAAGAGCGTATAATGGAAAATAAATTTTGCCTGATATCCTGATAAGTTAGAGTTAGTTGGGTGAGCTAAGCCAGTGATCTGCTTTTATTCAGTGATTATGCTTTTATTCAAACAGCATTCAACTAAAGACCAACCAGATGCTTTGGTCTTCCTAATGATCTTGAATATTCTTAACCTTGGTTAGATTTCTTCATTGCTTGTTTTGGAGAGTTCTTGGGAGTTTGTTTGTTTGTTTGGTGGCTGGTTGATTGGTTGGTTGATTGGTTTGTGTTTTGTAGCTTAGCAGTTGGATGAACCTAGACCATCTAGGTTTTCTTTATGTAACTCAATCCAGGACCAATCATAATAGCAAAGTACAACAAATATGGTAAATAAAATAAAAAAATCTGACTCATTAACAGCAATGCTGGATCAACTTAGAAAACAAGTTAATCAATAATCAGGCTGTTTAGACATAATTTGTGAATTCAGCCCATGTGAACAACTTCATAAGTTCACAACTCATGCATTAAATGCAAAGCTAATTTATTATTATAATTGGCAGTACCTTCCATCCAGGTTTGTTGCTCTCACAGCTGCAAAAACTTTTGTTTTTAAAGGTAGTCCTGTGTTAGGTATAATCAGCTGTTGGCTGTAGGTAGAGTCCTAGATAATAAATGCAAATATTGTAGCAATGTCATAACATAGAAGTCACAGTGAAATTACAGAAATCTAAAATGTAATATTTTCTAATAGAAAATAAATAAGATAATTCATAGTTCTCTGCAAGGCAAGGAACATTTAGTGCACACTACTTTAAAATATCACTGGAAGTCCTAGGAATTTCTCTCCTCCTAGGAAGGGGAAATAATGTTGAACCAAGTGTAATTTATAATTTGTTTATACAGTTTTCCTCAAAATTGCTCCCCCAACACCTTTTTATCCACTTAAAAGCAAACAAAATGACTCTAAAGGGACTATTGAGAAAAATAGTAAAAGAAGTCTAGACTGATCTTATATTTCTTTCTTTAAACAGTGGTTCTGCATGCATTTTTCAGGGGAAAAGTTGTAGCCCAGATTGGTAGGTCCATGTTTGCAATAAAAAATTTAATCTGGCCCATCACGTAAGACACAGATCCATGATGATTTTCTCATTTGTTACAATCATTTTAAAATAAATGGAACTTTTGCAAACAAATAGCTTTTAGCTTCAACTGATTTACATGGTGTATTTGGCACCACCTAAAACTGAAACAGTGCACTGACATAATTCAATATGACCAAATGCACTTGCATGAATGCACTTAATATTGTAGTTTATAGGGACCATATGTCAGAATTTTTAAAGATAAGTTCTTCAGAAAATACAAATGGTATCAGACAGTATGTAAAGGAACTAAATCAAATATTAATCATGCTACGTGAATGGTTAAAAAGTGTTACATTGAATCTATATATCAGGCTGTAAAATGCATTAACATACAAATAATCTGTCTCTTCAGTTTAGCAGTGTTTTTTTAAAATTATCTAGAGTTCCCTTAATATCAAAAAGATATTGAGACAGTAAAAACAGCTTTACTTTTATAATCCCTACTTTTTGCGAATATACAACCATATATTCTGTTGAAACTATTGTACTGAAACTCATTGGCATTCAAGACAAAGCAAATTTAGATTTTTACATCTTATCAACTACATATTTAATACTTGGTTTTGATCATTTTAAATGTAATACTAGAAGCTAAATTGAATACTAGATGTTGAATTGAAATTTTAAATAAGATTGGGTAGTATCTCATTTTTTTAAAAAAGTAAATAAGCAATCATACATATAATGCAGTTTGACCTTATACAAAACAAAGGCATATTAAATTTAATAGGTTGTTACTAGATAAGTGTGCATAAAATTGCAACATGCCAGGCGACATGGCTCCATTCCCAAATACATAGTTCTGTTATATTGATATAAAACATCTCTATGACCTTTATTTTTGTGTAATCATTTCTAGAAATCCTTAACTAGTAGATTTAATGTTACCCCATTCTAATTCAAATCAAAGATGGCTTAGTTAGATAATCTTCTAGGATTCCTTTCAATATATAAACGTGGTATAAATACTTAAATCAATTGCTTTGATTTACAGTTTGAGAGGTCTTGTCATATTCATTCTATCACAGAATTTTAAATAAAAGTAGAACTGTGAATTAATTTTTTCTGCAAGGATATCTTGATTTGATTACATGCATTACAATTCTTTCATAAAAGTTATGCTTATCCTTCTAGATACTATCTTTAGTTACTAACTGGAATAATACATTTCAGAATTATTCTGCCTCAATTTAAGAATTATATATGACTCCATTTAAACTTTGTATTAGATATTGTTTTAGTGGGATTACTGAATATGTCAAGACATACTATAGATGAAAAATACTGGGACACAGATATAATTTTGATACATTGCCCACGAGATGCTTATATTATAGCAACATCACAGATAGAAAAAACATCAAAATCTGTATTTTGGAATAAACTGAGGTTATCATACAGATACATTATTAAGGACAAGCTCAGTTCTGAAGTAGCAATTTTTTAAAAAATATTTGCAGTATTAACTAATTAATTTGATATAGATATTATCTCTTAGTTGTCCAGCTTAAAAAACTGTTATTCTGTATATTTGAATCGGATACTTTTTTTTTTTTGCTTTTGAAGTTCTATAGTAGTTAAAAATTCTGCAGTAAAAAACTGTAACTAAATTTAGTAATATGTTCTTTACAATTTACAAAGTTCTAAAAAGTTTTTGCCTTCATAAAACAATGTATTTTGGTAAATGCTTTAAGCAATGTGAAATTAATTAATTAAAATGTGGTAGTTTCTTTATATCATATTTAATAGGAATTGATTGCAACTTGTTCTGTTATTACATTGTGGTGAAATCAATAACATTATTAATATATGGTTGGACCAACCATTGTCTGTTACAGAGACATTTTTGACAATATTCTGAATATCGGGCTTTTAATGTATCAAAATTAAAAACAGTGGATTTTAGGGCTAGGCTTTGGGTTTTCTCCTGTGAAACTGGAAGGAAAGATGTCTGCCTGCTTGCCATAATGCAGTGATGGTGAACCTTTTTGGCACTGAGTGCCCAAGGAGAGAGCACATGCATGTGTGTTCGTTGGGCCCACAACCCAGAACAGGACCTGCCCAAGGGGCATGCGCGTGCCAAAAAGTGAACTTCCTGTTTCCAGCATGTGCATATGTGCCAGCCAGCTAGTCTTCCGGTTTCTGGTGCGCATGCACGTGCTGGCTGACATATCAGTTCTTCCAGTTTCCGGCACTGAAGGCCAACTGAAGGCCATCACACATGCATGCATGCCAGAAACCCAGAAGAGGAGCAAGCAATGCCCCACATGCCAGGTGACATGGCTCCACGTGCCACTTCAGGCACGCGTGCTATAGATTCACCATCACGGCCATAATGGATTGCTGAAAGCCAATAGTTGCTACAGAGTTTTCTCCCAGCAAAGGAATAAAAGAAGAGGACTATGATAAAAAATATATGGTTATAGCATAATTTAGCAGAGGGTTGTCAGTTTTTCTTTTCTTCCTTGTTAAGTATTATTGCAATGATAAACATTGTAGTTTTATTATTTCATGAACTTTATTGCATGAGGGTATATTTTAGTTTAATTGGTTTAAAATTCCTAAAAATAAAAATGCCTTTAGATCATACAAGGCTAACAAAATCAGTAGATGCCAAGTTTTAATATCCAATTAAATGGTGAAAACATCTGTTCCAAATCTGGAGTTCCTGCTTTGAATGAAATCCCTTCTCGCTTAGTGGGGCATCAAATCCATGTAACTTTATTTTACTACTAGAAAAATTCCAAGGTTGTGTGTGTGTGTGTGTGTGTGTGTGTGTGTGTACATGAGAAAGAGTAGCAGCTTGCAGAGCACTTGGCCTGAATTACCTATAAATTTACTAAGCCATATTTTTAGGACATTGATACAAAAGATATGGATCAAATTATATTTTAAGTCATGTGCTTTCCCAAAGCAGCTTGTTGTTCTGAATTCTGACATGAATTCTAATTGCCGACTTTTTAGCCCCAGGAACATCACTATGATCTCCTTGTAATAATGTCTCTTCCAACTCTTCCAACTGTTTTATTTCCTATGTTCCCTTTTATATTTTTATTAAATTGTCATGTTTGAAAATATCTAAATACGTTTAAAGGAGTATTTGCATTTATTACATGATACCATAGTAAAAAAAAAAGTAGGGATAATGAAGTGAATATACCAATAGCTTTTAGTTTTATTAATCTGAGAATGAATGCTACCTTAGCAGTATTTAAGTCACTCAGAAGCAATAGTGGATAATTGTACCTTAATTCATTAAGCAAACACAGCACAGCACTAGAGTATATTACATTTTAATATATGGAAATTAGTATCCTTTGCATTCATGCTTAATTAATTATGCTCCTCGTAGAGGAATATCTTGACCCCAACACAATCATTTCTCAAAAGCATCCCTTGTTCACCAAGTAATCCTAATAAATCCAATAGTAGATTTATACATATGTATGAATTCATTAGGAGCACCAACACCACAAAAGGAATTAATCCAATGTTGCCACCTTCTACTTAAGCAGAATGTGAATTTTGTTTTGCAAATATAATCCACAAATTGAATGCCCAGTATCAGCTTTGACAAATTTCAGGTACTTTTAACATACTATCAGCATTTATTTCCTTTAGGAAAATAAAAAGAAGCTGTCCTTCCAAATCTGGCTCTTTATTCCTAACCTTTCAATATGAAACAAGGCAGATCTGCAAGAAACTGTAACCACAGTTTTGCAGGGGAGAGCACTGCATAATGCAATATAATGATCTTTACTTTCCTTACAGATATTTCATTCCAGTATGTGAAAGTTGAGTATAAAAGAGTGCCCCGAAGTGCTACACATTCTTTTTCAGAGTGCGTCAGATAGATTATTGCTTATGGAGCTACATTATAGTTACTATACCTCTGATCATCAGTCAGTTTGGGATAATGAATAAACAAACACACCAACAGGGCAAATTGGTCTGAATCTACTGTGCTCCAATTTGTGTCCTTCCAAAGATCATATCACTATCATGATCTATTTATTAGGGATGTCCCAAAGATGACAACACAAAGAAGTATGCTCAAAATGGAATGACACTTTGCTGCAGAAAGCAAATGAGTAGGGAATGATATTGGATTCAGTGAACAATGCATCTGTACTGAGCCTTAGAATAAGACAGCTACTGATAACTGACCTTCCCCCATTCACTATGACTTGGGGAGTGGAGAAATATTACTGTTTTCTTAACAAGTTTCCTGTCACCTTGATCTCTAGCGCTAAATGGTTCCAAAATGGATTTATCTGGGCTAGCATTTCTGCTGCAGTCCTATAACCATTATTTCCAAAACATTCATCAATACACAGACTAATTTCTTATCAACATCCTTTCATTTTATTTAAAATCTCTCAACTACCTATTTAAAATTTGGCACAACTCACTCCTACCATATAGACTATTTTCAATTTTTTATCTCAGAGTAATGCTATAAGTCCCTTTATTAATACTATCTAATTTTGAAGGTTCAAAATGCATATACTAATTTTTGTCAAATTTGATGCCCCTCTTTGACAAAACAGTTTATCTGTTTTGAAGCTTTAAATTATAATAAATGGCTGTGTGTATGTTTGTGTGTGTGTGTGTTTGTGTGTGTGTTCCAACTCTGGAATGCCTCAAGCAATTTTAACCAAATTTGGTACACGGATGACTTACTCTCTAGAAAAAAATATTGTGGGGGTAAGTAACCCCTAACGCCCCTTGGGGGGGGGTATTCTATTAAGATACAGCCTGCTGTGCCTTAAAATGGCTTCTACTGTACAGCACATTGGAGTTCCCATGGTAACAGCTTCACAGTACTCCATAAGGGCTCTCCCTCTGGTAAGGGAGAAAATGCAAGATTACTAATTACATTTGGCCCGGACATTTTCCCCCTATAAATAAATACCCAGGCAACACTGGGTTATCAGCTATATTCAATACTAAAAGACCCTCTGTTCTTTTATGTTTTTCTCATGCTAGACTACAGTATGAGAGAATGTAAACCAATATATAAATAAAAAAGCTAGATTATTTCAAAAAATCCAAAAGAAATTATACAAACCAGAATAGTAATCCCCTGCCCCAGGGCTCTTAAACTCCCAGCCTGGGGACCGGTTGCATCACATACTGGTCACTCCCACAACCGGTTTAGCAAAGAGGGGGGAAATCCCAATAGTCACTTGATGCCACCATGATGAACATGAGATTGACCTACACCTATCTAACCCGATACCTAAATTTTTGATATCATGCTTAAACTATAAATAGAAATGTACCATTCAGAATGAAGTTAGCCTTTATATTTTTAAAGTAGTGTACATGGCTTAACATGTGCTATTATTCTTTTCATACATGGAGTGGTGTGCTATTATTCTTTTCATACATGGAGGTGAGTGTGTTAATTTTTGAGTTAGACAGGTGAGAAATGTGATTCTCTAATATTTTGTGGTGTGAGTCAGCTGGAAAAATAAACTGATACATGATACTCATCAATTACATGCTCTAAAACAATTATGTTAAGTTCTTTGTTTTTAAGGGAAAAACTGATTATAGTTATAACAATATCTAATAGATGTTACCATCTTAGAGTTTAGCAGCTCAGCTGTTCTAAAAGGATGAATAATTTGCACACCTCTTTGCATCAGAAAGCTATTCAACAAAATGCTTTATCATAAGAAGAGAAGGTTGTTACACATTACTGGGAGACAGCAACCTGCCGTGGGGAAGGGTACATCTTGTACAGAGGATTTTATTTATTTTATTTTTATATTAGTGTTATCTCACCTTTATTACATTTATAAAGGTGATGAATATGCATAATACTGTTTTCTCCTCCTGTTTTCTCTACCACTAAAACCCTCTGAGTTGGATTGGGCTGAGAGACAGTGACTGGTCCAAAGTCTCCCAGGCAGTTTCTACGCATAGAACTCACAGGATCCTGATTTCTATAACAGCACTTAACTACTATGCCCAATTGGTTCTTATTTATAAGGTCAGTATATAAAACCAAAAATTAGTACTATTGGCAAAATAGTATTGGCTACTATTAGTAGCATGAATTTTAATGAAACTAATTTATTTCGATCCTTTCAGCACAATATAATATTCCTTCTTCTCAAAGTTTTCAGAAATTTGCTCCTTTCTCTCTAATTGTGTACATACACTAGTTTTAATCTAACATCTTTTGATGTGGTCTGTAGAACTGCATGTCACTAGAAAGCAAAACAAGACATTTGTTTAACTACAGTTACTATTATTCCATTATGATAGTTGTAGCTCATTTGTTATATTCGAAATCTAAAGCGCAGACTTTTAAATCAACTGCATGAATTATACTCTAGGTTCATGATGAGATGAATAATAATCTTGAAAATGTAATTGTAATTTAGTAAAATGCCAGCTGAGAAATGGAAAGATGATTTTTTAAAATTATATATTTGAATGGATAAAGAAAAAATCTAATCAACACAAAATAAGATTTGGAAGATTATGTTGGCCTTATAAATAAAAATCAGTTAAATTTTCACATGTCCCACTCAATGTCCCTATTTATTTAATACAAGCATTTTCAATTACATATATTCAAATTTAATTATCATGCTAATAAATAGAAAGCATTATCTGTCGTTAAGAACAATATAAAATATTAACTATCTTAATGCCCTGCCACAAAACCAAGTAAAAAGAATAAAATTAACATTGATTTATATTAGGGGTAAATGTTTTTTTAAATTCTTGATGATGAAAAAGTACAAGTCCCAGAATCCCTCACTACTAAGAGTTAAAGTTCTGAAATGACACAAGTTGCTTCCCCAAGTTTAAAAAACTGTAATTATTTGCTGTATCAGTACTTATGGCTATATATTTTTTAAAACAGGCCATTACCTAAGCATGGTTGGGATATCAGATAAATGCCTTCTTTTACAATGGATGTATGATTTCTGAAGCCGCTAGTGGAACCCTTGTGGAATCTACAGCCAGGCTGAATAACTGAATCAGTTGAACTACTGTTGCCCGGTGCCAGATGGGCCAATCTTAGTGCTGATTTATCAGAACACTTCCATTGTAAACTGAAAACAAAATTGGGATGATGATGATGATGATGATGATGATGATGATGATGATGATGATGGTTGCTGTCGTTCAACAACATTATCCAGATTATAATCCTCACCTATGTTTTCAATATGTTTTTTTCTATCCATGTGACTGTTTTGTCATCTTGGGGTTTTTTAAGTTAAAATTTGAACAGAACATAAGACACAATACTATGATTCCATATTATAATTATAATTAAGATTATAAGATGGAAAGAAAGCCAGATCATTTTTTAAAAGTGTAAACACAAAGCCCAGAACTGTAGAAAATATGTTAAGCAAGTCAGAGCTTAGAATAAACTGATGCTAGCAGATGCTAAGGACTGAATAAGGGCTTCCTTATACTGTATATGTTTAGAATAAATGGAAATAACTAGAAAATAGGGGCTGAATGAAGAATGCAAAGGGCTGAGGAGCAATAAAAGATCAGGAGAACAAACAATTCATCTCTTGTTTTTTTTATAATCTTCTTCGTCAAGAATATATGTGTTAAACAGTGAACTTGTGAAGAGCAAAGGGCATGCCTTGAAGACTGAGCCTGATAGACATGGACATAGAATTTCTGTATACCTTGAATGAATTTCATCTGAGGACACTCCAATTGCATTCCAGGACACAGAAAAAACTAGAATTTTCAAATGTATTTTAAAGAAATTGCAGAGAATGCAGAAGAAGATCATAAAGTGGTAAATCGGTAAGCATTTCAAAAACAAGATGGCAATCACTGATGTGGTAACAATGTGCAATTGTCTAACTTTTATTGCCAGACTGACTTTCTCTCCATCTTTTCATATAACAGATTTCCTTAATAAAGTGTAGTAATAAAATATTTTTACTTTACTGAGAATTTGACAAAGTGTGCTATAACATCCTGATTAGCAAACTAATTAAATGTAGATTGGATGGCATGATTTTGGATATATACTTGGCTTGAAAATCACAAAGAGTTTTTATATTAAATTGGATCAAGTTCAATACCAGAAGTACAATCTTAGGCTCTGTACTGGTCCAAAAGTTTATTAATGTCTTGGTTAAACTTATGAAGAAAATGTTTATAAAATTTTCAGATCTATCAAATTTTGACAGCATAACTAATATACAAAATGACAGAAGTAAAATTCAAAATAATCTTGTTTGAGATATGTTTGAGATATTACTCCAAATGAAATTTATCAGAGACAGATCCAATATTGGTACCTTACCAGATAAAACTCAGATGTTCCAGTGTAGGATAACACTTTGGTTGGTAGCAATACTTGGGCAAAAGAACATGGGATATTCATTGGTTATAAACTGACTATGGCACTCAGTGTGACACAAGAGGCAGAAGCAATTTTATCACATTTCATTTTCAAATTATGATGATGAGTGAGTTTCAGTTTATTCTAATTTGATCAAAGTAAAATTCTAGCAGCTATGCTAATTTAAATAATTAGTTTCATTTTAAAAGGTCCAAAAGCAATGATTCACTGCTAGGAAACTAATTGTATGAAAAAAGCTTAAAAGGTGGTCCGGCCAGTTTTACTTTGGAAAAAGAAAAAGAATATGACAGCACTTTTTAATTCTGAAAAGAGATGATAAAAACCTATTCTCTAAATTTGGACTTCCAGGGAAACAACAGTGTACCAAAGATGGATCGGCAGAATCCAGAGCCAAGAATCACAACCAAAATACAAGCCATTGAACAGATAAGCTCTTAGGGATTTTCTAGAGCAAGAAAGGACCCAGGATTGTCCCAAAGAGCCCCATCTACATGTTTCCCATGAGGACATCAAAAGACACTGGTCTCTTGCTTGGCAAACTGAGGGAAAATCATCTTGTCTATCAAGGTCTGGCATCTTCAAAGGTACACTCGGTTTTGATACTTCCTCTCTTAACCACCTTAAAAAATAGTTTGTAAATGGCTTTCGGATGTTAAGGACATTCAGGTTTCATTAAACCAGATATGTTTCCTTTTATCCCTGATGAAAGAACTTTCATGCAAGTTTAAAGACTTTTTAAAATAAACAAATAAATAGCAAAAAGATGTCTAGAACATTTGTATAACAGAACAAATATATTTAGGCCATTTGTTTCTACTTACATTGTAAAGGAGCAAATTCAAAGTGCTTATAAATGTACCATTGTTCTCTCTTACAGAAATTGCAGCTGATGACCTATGAATAGATTATAAAGCGAAACTATTTAATAGGTCACATATTCAATTCTCTTTCTTATTAAAACAAGACATATACGCTAATTTTTATTTTATTTATCAAAATTTGCAACTACTTATCTTCCTCACAGAAAGAGCAATGCATTCATAACAAATAATTAGGGAATGAATACAAAATAGTCATCCAGTAATTTATAGGGTAGCATTTATTTCTGAGCCATATATTAAAATTTTGTTGTGTGAAAACCAATTGTATCTGAGGTAAATCAGTTCAACAATTGTTTTCAGTTCAGTTACTTGCAGCGAAGCATCTAAATATCTACTTTGTGATTAATAAATATTTTGGAAGCAAATTTTATTGCGAAACAGTAAACCTAGCTCAAATACAATGGTACACTAAATTCTGAGAATCACATTCTTTTAGTACTATTTTTCTCCTTGTCTTCTTTCTTTTTTCCCTTCTTTATGAGTGATAACAATTTTATGTATGGAAAGGGCCAATATTCATACATCTGTCTTGTGCTGAGAATGTATTATGCTTACAGAACACAACCAATTCCCCTTCTCTAAAACCTGAATAGTTTCATAATAAAAATGGAGCAATCATAGTAACTTTTGATTACAAAACAGTAGTCATTTCTTTAAAAATAAATCTAATATTCATACTTACGAAGCAAGTTGTGTATTGTTGACTAGGTATTCCAAAGGATAACTACAGCTAAATTTATACAGAAGTCCTGGTAAATAGCTGATAATTGTTGGTGGATCTGGGGTATCTATATATCCTGAAATATTACCTATTTGGACTGTGGATGCATTGCCATATACATTGATACCTGGAACTGAGGTTACCTATTAGGATAAGCAAGAAAATTGAAATTACAGAGAGGTAAAGCTTATAGTAGAGAAGAATCTATAAAATGATACAGATGGGATTTTAGTACTTAAAACCATCTTTATTTTCTCATCTGAATGACTGACTCAACAGTGCAGTACCCCTTAAATAGTTTTTGGGTGACTTATCCAACCAACCCTATTGCTTTTCTTTACAATCATGAGGGAAAGAAATGGACCTACAGGTAACCACTTCAGACAAACTGGCAGAATGTTATGTTTTGATACAGAATCTTGGATTAATCAAAGTCTGTTGATCGCAAACATTTTTGTGAAGTTCCCCTTTAAAACATTGGGACATATTTGGCCTTTTGGTAGAAGGTAAGCAACATCAGAAATGTTTGAATAAAAATAGTTGGTGATTCCTCCCTTCAATCAACAGCCCAAATGAGGCAATTGTCAATAATTGTTAATTCAGTGTTGCCTTACTTGGAATACATAGTCCAGAGAATAAAAAGTGTGCACGCTCAAAACAAGCAACAAGCAATTTATATGCTGAAGCTGACCAGACTAAGGATGGTAGCCAGATGGATACCTGGTAGGCAGATTTTTTCTCCTATTTTCCTCCCCAAAAACTAAGGTGTACCTTATACTCCAAAAAATATGCTACATACTGACATTTTTACTGTGACTTGCAAGTTCAAAACTGACAAGAGTGCTAAGCAATTAAACTTGCAATTTTTGTATTTAGAGGAAAAGGAAAAAGAGAGAATAGTATGGCCATGTTGCAAGACAATATCATTTCCAAATTCATGCATTTGGTCCAACTCACAACATTTAAGAATATTTCAGGTAAGCCTATCTTGAATTAAAATCCTCTCCATTCTGTAAGAATTATTTGTGCCTACTATCCTACTCCACCCATCCCATGCCAATTGAAATAGTAAAGAGAGACTTTATCATTGCCAGTCAATTTTATCATAGTCATTCTTTACCACTATGAGTGGTTAACCTATTTCTGAAAGTACAACAGACAAGATATGTATGTTTGGATTAAAATTGAGTTTGCTAGGGGATAAGATTATCACTATGATTTCTTTATCTGTGTCTAAACCTCCTCTTATTTTACCAGCTTCAAGAAAAAAGCATCTCAAGCAAAGTCTATTTCCTTATTTCCCCAACAACAGCTGTGAATGATGGTAAATCAAAAGACAAGTAATGTGTTCCACTTTTTCCTGCAGCATTTTTGTGTAAAAAAATCTTTTTCTGAAGTCATTAATTGTCCTCACAAGAACATTTTAATTTTGAAAAACAGTTTAGAGTGATGTCAAGCCTTGCCTGGGGATGTGGAGGAAGGAGATAAGGGAAATAAATTTCTATAAGCCCTCCTATGTAAATTAGTGGCAACCAAGTAGAACATAGGATTTACCAAAAATGCATTTTAATTATATACAAAACACTCTGGATATTACTTTACTATTTATTTCAATCTTAATTTCCTATAGTTAGACTTTTTTTTAATCTTGAATCTCTCTCTCTACTGGTCAATGACCCAACCCAAACAGTAAGTTTTTCATCTCTTCTTTTTTTCTCTGATTAACATCTTACACTTTTTATTTTTGGCTGGTTGGTTGTGATCATAGAAAGCTTAACTCTGAGGCATTTATTATTTTAGACTCTTTTTCATCTCTTTTCCTAAATTAATCTGAGGGTGGTTACTATTCAATAATTTATCTCTTCCTGCTAAAGCAATACTTGTCTTCTTTCTTAGTATTCGCCATTCTTCCAATAGCAGCTGTCAGAATTCTCTGGGTGAATGCAGGAATTTCTTTTCCACTAACTTCTTGTATCAGTCACTTCTGTACCATACAGCTGTGTTGCAACTCAGTTCTTGCATTTTTCAGTTCTGGCAAATCATCCTGCTGATTTTGCATAACATGGGGGTTGTTCCACTTCCATTCCTCTTCTGGTCAGATTTACCTCCAAAGTTCTAGTGCATTTCCAATTCAATTTCCCCACTCATTTCTCATCTACATACTTCTAATAACAATAGCAATCACTGTGAATGCCCTCTCACACTTCCAAATAATGTTGACTAGTATATTATTAGGCACTACTGACAAAATATATCATGATAGGACAGGGATGAATATATAGTTTATTATTACATACAGATAAAAGCTTCATTGCAATGATCTTATATGTCATAATGAAAAAGGAAGGAAGAAAGGAAGGAAGAAAGAAAGGAGGAGTGGGGGAGAGAGAGGAAGAGAGAGAGAGAATCTTCTTGGAAGAGTCTAAACATTTAAATCTAAATAATAGATCTTACTTATGTACTCCTTATTATGGAGTTGAGAACATTAATTGCCCAGAAAATTTCTTTCTTACTAGCAGACTAGAAGTGTAGGAATCTAAATTTAATATACAAATCAAATATAAACTGTTTATTAAAATGGTATAAGATAGGTTTTGAAGGCAACAGAGCGATTAATAGATGACATTTTCCATTTTTCATGCTTCCATTCCAATAAGAGTTGTCTATTATTATTGTTTTGTTTCATAAATTGAAATTGGAGAAATCATGATTGCATTCCATAATATTAGAACCAAGGGCACAAAAGAATAAACACTTCTTTGAAATGAATGAGGCAATCTATCACCAATCAGAACATTATTGATCTTTAAATTAAAAGCATTCATATTTGTATGTCATGCCCTCATTTCACACAATTTTAGGTGCCTAATAGCACCTAACAATTGTATGGAGCTTCCAAAGATTCTTGTCTTACCATTAAAGAACTTCCACAAGATTCCAAAGTGCTGAGATTGATTATGAAAATTACCACTGCTGGAAATGTGTTGTTGTTTATAAATCCCCTGCAGTGAGAGTCCCCGTGTTTCCCATTTAGTGCTAAATCAGTTTCAGAGTAACCAGAAAACAGGACAGTGCAAAAATTAATCTTCATAGAAATTGCCTGAACTCCACAGTAGACGTTGATATCTTGTTCTGCTACAATAAAAAAGGGAACTATTCAGATTATATTGAATTATATTTTTGAATGTTACATTAGGAAATAAGCCTAATTTCAAATCAATTTTAAAACACAGACAACATAAGAAGCAAACTAAAAATAATAACAATAATAAGAAATGGAGATCTCTTACCAATGAATTCCATAAGATTGTGCCATAACTGAGAATACTACACTTAATAACATGACTTTAATGTGATTTACCTTCATGCACTTCCTTGAATGTTGGGAATAAGCAGAGTCTTCTTTTCATTGCACATCCTATCAGTTTTCCCTCAGCATACTTAGAAAACAAGCCCCAAATATCCCCAAAAGTTTCAACAGAACACTATATTGGTATCATTTGTATTTTGCAGGTAATAATCCATTAAATAGCCATACCAAATAGCAATCATTTAATGTAACCAGAGACAAACATAAATTAGTAATAAATAATTAGAATAAAATACCAGATTTCAGTTTTAAAACACCAAAACATTTGTATACACAAAAATGAAAGCAATAATTGATAAAGCAGCTTTATAACATACAGTCAGATAAATAATGATTCATAGTACTACTATTATTTTTGGTAAATAGTAGTTATAAAAAAAATTACAGGTTTCAATTTTAGTAAACACAATCAAGGAGGCTGAGATAGCAGAAAGTTTTCTAATAACATTTTAGCACAATAACAAATGTATCTGCTGTATTATGAAACATTAGATGACTTGGATGAGGGAATAGAAGAGGAACTCATTAAATTTGCAGATAACCCTAAGCTAGCAGGAATAGCCAATACCACAGAAAACAAGCTCAGGATTCAAAAAATATATATTGAACAATGGGCCTTATCCAACAACATGAATTTAATGTGGAGAAAAGCAAGATTTTACACTTAGGAATGAAAAAGCAAAGGTACAAGTACAGATTAGGGGAAACTTGGCTCAAAAACAGTAACTGTGAGAGGGACCTTGGAATCCTAGTGGATAATCACTTAAATGTAAGCAAGAAGTCTGTGGCAGCAGCCAAAAAAGCTAATACAATCCTTGGTTGCATAAAGGGATAGAACCAGCAGAAGTATGGAATAGAAATCACATAAAGTATTAGTACTGCTTTATAAATATTCTTAGTAAGACTACACCTGGAATACTGCATCCAGATGTTGATACTTTGGAAAAAGTGCAGAGAAGAACAAGTAGGATGATTAAAGGCCTGGAGACTAAAACATATTAAGAACAGTTGCAGGAACTGGGTATGGGTAGTCAAGAGAAAAGAAGGACTAGGGGTGACATGATAGCAGTATTCCAGTATTTGAGAAGCTGCGACAAAGAAGAGGGAGTCAATTTATTTTCCAAAGCATCAGAACTCAAGAAACAATGGATGGCAACTAATCAAGGAGAGAAGCAATATGGAATTAAGAAGAAACTTGAACAATTGTTCTAACAATTACTGGAGGTTTTTAAGTCAGTTGTCTGAAATGATATAGGTGTCCTGATTAAGCAGGGAATTGGACTAGAAGACCTCTAAGGTTCCTTCCAACACTATTCTAATTGAATGATTATAAAATCTAATCAAAATAAATGAGTGTCATCAGCTTAATTTCCACATATTGAAACTCCATATTTTATTCTTTATCATAGCCATATTTATTTAGGACATTATTTTAATAGTTGCAGGTGAGCATATAGGTATGTATAACATATCCAGTGTTGGGCAATAATCATAGAAACAAGCAGTTTCTATGTTCTAGATTGTGTAAATCTGTAGAATTCAAAATACTTCCAAGTTTGAAACAGTTTCTCCTTATTTTGAGCATGTTTGTATAGCTTTTCTGGAAGGGTTTGAATTTGAAATACAGTTATTTAATAGATAGAATAGTTGTAATGTTCTGTATGAAACTTTTTCACAATCTTACTAAATGCTATACATGTCTCCAGGATTTCTTCCACATGCAGAGAGCAATTGGCTGGCTGCAAGTTGATCAAGCAGGGTTTTTCTCTCATTTATCATATATTGCTAATCAATATATCTATGACATGATGTATTGTGTTTTCCTTCTCTGTTTACAGTGAATAATAAAAATTTGAGTTACTCAAAAAAGTAATACATTATACCTATGAGAATTTATTCAAATGGTTTTTGGCATTATGTGATTTAAGATCATAATGGGAGGTAGGAGGCTAAACTGGTTCAATTCAATTGTTTCAGGACTCATTCATAGCTTATATTGCAGAAGATCAAAACAGCTGCACCTGCTTTGTTTTGTTGAGATGAAAATTACATGTGTAATAAAAACATTAGAGAATATTAATCATGGCTACTTTACTTGGCTATCTTTAGTGAATGTATACCATAAACTGTTGTTCTTCATTTCTTACTCAGAGAAAGAAAAGAGTTGAAAACAATAGCTTAACAGCCTCTAAATCATCCAGCCAAGTCACAAATATCAGTGAGTGGTGCTAATGGTTGATATGAGTTGCTACCAGTGTCCTAAGTATCAACCAAGTATCTTCTTAAAATATAAGATGTTCCTAGCAGCACAGTTTTTTGCAGTTCTGCTGGTGTTATTGAAGGAAGCTGAAATTTCTTTATGTGTTTTGTAAAATTCTTAGACATGGTACCAAGTGCCCCAATGATAATGGGTATCACTGTTACATATTTCATCAATAGCCATATAGTTTCGATGGCCAGGTTGCAGTATTTCATGATTTTTTCTAGTTCTTTTTCTTCGACTCTGGCATCTCCTGGTACAGTGATATCAATAAACTTCTGCCCTCTACAACTGTGATATCTGACGTGTTGTGTTCCAAATGAGGATCCATCTTTATTCGAAAGTCCCACAAAATCTTCACCTTCTCATTTTTGGTAACTTTTTCCACTTTGTACTCCCATGACTTTTTGGATGCAGGTAAATTGTATATTTTACATAATGACCAGTGGATTAATTTAGCAACTCAATCATGTCTAGCTTTGTACTCAGTTTGTGCAGTTTTATTGCATTCACATATTACATGTGAAACAGTTTCGACTTCTTGTTGCAAAGTCGGCAGTTTGGATTGTCAGTGGATTTTTGTATCTTTGCTTACATGGCATTAGTTTGTAGTGCTTGTTCTTGAGCCACCAGTATTAAACCTTCCATTTCTTTCTTGATGGTGCCCATCTTAAGCCATGTCCATGTCAAGTTGTCATCACATTTTCCTTCAATGTTTTTCAAGTGCTGTCCATGTAAAGGTTTGGTTTTCCATCTATTTAATCTGTCATCCAGCTGTTTTTCCTTATATTCTGCCTTTGTTTCTGTTGTTTTTATACTGTTCTCCATTTTCACAGCCTACAGCAATTTTTCTATACTTTGGTTCACATAATCATGCAAACTTCATTTTTCTTCTTCTACAGTTTGATGGATTTGCAATAGCCCTCTGCCACTTGTTTTTCTTGGCAGGTACAATCTGTCGATGTCACTTTGTGGATGTAAAAGGTGGTACATATTCAAATGTTTGTGCGTTATCCAATTCAGCCAAAGTCCAGTTGATGTTTCCAGATGAATAGTGCATCACTGGAACTGCCCATGTATTAATTGCTTTAATTATGTTTCCAACAGTCAGCTTTCATTTTAATATTTTGCGGACCCTCCTGACGTATTCCTTTTGCATTGACTCTTTGACTTTTCCATTCAAGATGTTATCTGCTTCCAATATACCTAGGTATTTGTAACCGTCATCCTTTGCTAATGCTTTCACTATGCTTCCATTTCCCAGTTCTATTCCTTCTATTTTTTTCTATTTTTCCATGCTGCATGGATAATATAGCATATTTTTCAAGTCCAAAGTTCATTTTTATGTCACCGCTGAACAGTTGAACTGTATTGAGTATTGATTTAAGTTCAGTGGGGCTTTTTGCATACATTTTAAGTCATGTATAGTAGATGGTTTATCTTATCATGTTGGTTTGAAATTTGGTATCCGAGTTTTGTGTTTTGTAGAATTATTGTCAGTGGAATTAACGTGATGTTGAACAGTAGTGGTGAAAGTGAGTCCCCTGGAAGATTCCTCATCTGATGTTTACTTCACCAATGTTCTTTCCATTTGCTACTAGAACCGTAATGAGTCAAATGCCTTCTTGTAATCAATCCATGTCATATTTAAATTTGTTTTTCTTCATTTTGCATCTTTTAGTACCATTTTGTCAATGAGCAGCTCATCTTTTATTCCTCTTGATTTTTTATACTTTCCTTTTTGATCTACTGGATACAAACTGTTTTCCATCAGATGATTGAATGCTGAATTTGCCAGTATCCTTATAAAAAAATTGAGCGTTGTTGGCAGACAAGTAATTGGGTGATTGTTGCTTGGTTCTGTGCCCTTTTCGGGATCTTTCATTATCAAGTATGCTTGACCAGCTGTTAACCATTCTTTGCTTGTTGCATTTCGAAGTATTTGATCAAATTGCGTGGCCATGCGATGATGGAGGCTGGTCAGGTGTTTTAGCCAGTATCCATGCAGTTCATCCAGGCCAGGTGCACTTCAGTTCTTGACCTTCTTTATTTGTTTTGCCACCATCTCAGTTTTTATTACAATATTTTCCATTTTGTTTCATGTTTTTTGTTGTTGAATATATTTGATCCAGGAAGCAATTTTGTTGTGTTCCACTGGGTTTTCCCGCAGTTCTTTCCAAAAGTTCAAAGTTTTTTCTTTACATGGGTGAACATTAGTTTGAACTCAATTTTCATCAAGGGACTGGTAGAAGAGGTGTCAGTTTCTTCTGAACTGGACATTTTGACAATATTGTTTTATTCGTCTTTCATATCTTTCAATTTTCTTGGCTGTTGCTATTACATGTTGTTTTAGTTCTTCCATAATTTCCATTATTGTTTTTTCCTCCAAATTATATTTTTTGTGTAAACTATTTTTCAGCTTTTTGGTCTTTATTTTTCCTTCTTTCAAGTACTGTATTTCAGATTGCTAGCATCCCCTTTTAGTTTTATTTTATTTTATTTTCA